AATTAAGTGTTCTGGAATACTCATACTTCTCAATGTTGTCCATAGTTTGTCATGATCCACACAATCGAAAGCCTTCGTGTAGTCAATAAAGCACAGGTAAACATCCTTCTATACTATAGCTATTGTAAATAGAGGAAAATAGAAACAACTTAAAATTTATGATTGCTTAAATAAATCAGGACAAATCCACACAATTAAAATCTTGGCAGCCACTTAAAAGCATATTATAGAAGAATATTAAATACCATGGGAAAATGTAGTATAGTATTAAGATTAAAAAAGATAACAAAAGTGATGACTCTAATTTTTTAAACAAGTTTTACAAATGTCGTGAGTGTACAAAATTGTTAAGTGATGTCTAGTCAGTTCCGACTCATAGCAATCCTGTATAGGGTGGTTTCCAAAGGGCAGCTAGGGGGTTTGAACCACCAACCTTATGGTTAGCAGTCAAGTGCTTATCCCACAGTGCCATAATGGGACTCAATATAAATGATATGAAACAAAGGGTTAGTAGAGGGTATCTGGATTTGGGGAACATTTTAAAATAAAACTTCTTGTTATATATCAGCAACAATAAATGACATTTATAAAATTTTCAATGCTTAGATATAAATCTTTTGTTCTTTTTAATAGTAAAAGTCTACCTTGGTGGTGTTTTGGTAAGTGTTTTCAGTTCTTCCAATTTATTCTTCATGTCATTGTTTTCTTCTATTAACTCTTCAACAACTTTACTATTCTCTTCTGTAAAATAAAGTTTGCAGTATATTAAACAGTTAATTACCTTTTTTCCCAGCTTTCTTTTCCCATCAGTACCCAAAGCAAATGTTTATAGAGGAGACTATGATTTCCATTGTTAGCCTGTGTCCTTCATTCTCTGGTGATCCAAACTAGAGTCAGACTGCTCCCTTTGTTTCCTCAGCACTAAAAATCTGTGCTCCATTTTCATCTTGTTCTGGGTAACACATCACCCTGCAATTAGTTTTTCAATGGTTTCATATGTATGTGCTTTGTTTTACAGCTAGACTGATCCTGTGTTGACAAGGATTTTCCAATTCCACGTTCCCCACAGAACCCAGCATATAGACTAAACATAAATAAGTGATCATTGAACAAGCATTTAAAGAGAAAATTTAAAGTATGAATTAATATAGGATTTTCAATTCTTTGGACTTTAAACAAGAGAGATTGATAAATGAACTCATGCCTGTGGCTCAATTTTCAACCAAACAATAGATAGATACATAGGGGGAAACACCACTAGTGAGGTTTGCACACCACAGAATCGTTAACCATTCAAGATGAAAAGGGCAGCATTTCTCCAAGAACAGTAGGTAGAAAGGCTGGGAAATGAGGACCAATAGAAACAAGACTCACAGGGAGGAAGCAGGATAAGTAATGTAACATTAAGGGGACTGCAATCATTGAGATGAATGAAGTGTACAATTTTTTTAAATGTATAACTGGTGACCTGTTCTGTAAACCTTCACTTCATTCACAAAAATTTATTTTAAAAAAAAAGGAGAGAGAGAATGATAAAGTCCATAGGTGTAAGGGAAAAAAAAGGCATGGACTTCAGAGTGAAAGAGATACAGGTTTAAATCCTACCTCAGCTTCTTACCAGTTGCAGGAGCCTCTGCACATTACTTAAACTTTCTGAACTTGCGGGTGTTTTTTCAAATATAAATGGGTATGTTGTTATTGTTAAGTGCCTGATAGTTCAGACTCATAGTGACACTCTATAAGGTCTCCAAGGAGCGGCTAGTATGTTTGAATCTGGTGCATGAACCCACAGAGCCACACCAGGACTCCAAAATGGGTGTGTTGTTGTTGTTAAGTGCCATTGAGCCGGTTCCAACTCATAGTGACCCTGTACAGGGTTTCCGAGGCAGTAAATCTTTACAGGAGCAGAAAGCCTCATCTTTCCCCGTGGAACAGCTGGTAGTTTCGAACTGCTGACCTTATGGTTTGCAGTCCGATTTATAACTGCTATGCTACCAGAGCTCCTTATAGTATTACCTAAATAGGGAGTCCTGGTGTGGCGCAGTGGGTCAATGCGTCAGACTGCAAAGCCGGTTTAATTGCAAGGTCGGCAGTTCAAGTTCACCATCTGCTCCTCGGAAATCCTATACAGGGTCGCTATGGGTCAGAACTGACTCGACGGCACTTAACAACAACAACAACAAAAAACTATAATAGAAACAAAACAAAAATCATCTCCTCCAACACCATATATGAGGGCTGGCAACATCCTTGCTTGATAAACGTGAACATGGTGCCCAAGTTCACCAACCCTGTAAGTTAGGGGGAAGGGAATGAACCAGTCATTCCATTCGGCTGACTGACACAGCTTGTATATTTTTAAACCACTTATCCTTACTCTGTACTTATCACAGAAGGGAAACAATGGAATTTCAGAAACAAAAACAAATCTAAACAAGCAGCCACGTTAATAAACATCACCTAATAGATGCACTTTAAGACAAAATCCAAATCAAACTATCAATGACTTACATTCTGACCTTGACCTCATGTGTTGTCAGCCCTTTCTGAAAGTACTGCCTTCAAATCAATGGATTATTTCCAAATTGACAAACTACAAAAGATTAAACTATTTATGATCACATGATATGGCTTAATTATTTTCTTAATGAATAATTACATTAATGTACTCTCATCATTTTATTATGTAACTTATATTTTCTTGGTTTTCATCTAATCGTACAGTGGCATTCTGCGGTAGTTCTATGCATCTATGTTGTTGCTGTTAGGTGCTATCGAGTCAGTACCGACTCATAGTGACCCGATGCACAATATAATGAAACACTGCCCGGTCCTGTGCCAACCTCACAATCCTTCATATACCTGAGCCTATTGCTGCTGGCACTATGCCAATCCATCTCGTTGGGGGTCTTCCTCTTTTTCTCTGCCCCTCCACTTTACCAAACATGATATCCTTTTCCAGGGACAGGTCCCTCCTGATAATAAGTCTGAAGTATGAAAGACTAAATGTAGCCACCCTGCCTTCTAAGGAACACTCCGACTGTACTTCTTCCAACACAGATTGGTTTGTTCTTTTGGCAGTCCATGGTACTTTTAATATTCTCCTCCAACATCACAACTCAAATGCATCAATTCTTCTACAATCTTCCTCATTAACTGTCCAACTTGCACATTCATGAGATTATTGAAAATACCATGGCTTGGATCAGGTGCACTTTAGTCCTCAAACTGTTATCTGTGCTCTTCAACACTTTAAAGAGGTTTTGTGCAGCAGATTTTCCTAATGCAATATTCTTGACTGCTGCTTACATGAGTGCTAATGGCGGATCCAAGCAAAATGAAATCTTTGATAACTTCAATCTTTTCTCCATTTATATGGATGTTGTTTCTTGGTACAGTGGTGAGGATTTTTGTTTTCTTTACATTGAGATGCAATCCATATCGAAAGCTGTGGTCTTTGATCTTCATCAGTAAGTATTGTAAGTCCTCATTCCTGTCAGTGAGCAAGGACGTATCATCTACATACGGCATGTTGTTAATGAGTCTTCCTTCAATCTTGATGCCTCATTTTTCATCATATAATCAATCCAGTTCCTTAGATTATTGGCTCAGCAGACAGGTTGAATAAGTATGGTGAAAGAATATAACCCCGGCACACACCTTACCTTATTTTAAACCATTCGGTATTCCCTTGTTCTGTTTGGTCTATGTACAAGTTCCTCAAAAACACAATTAAATTTTCTGGAATACTCATTCTTTGCAGTGATGTCCATACCTTGTCATGATCCACACAATTGAAAACCTTTTGGTAGTCAATAAAGCACAGGTAAACATCTTTCTGGTATTCTCTGCTTTCAGCCAAGATCCATCTGACATCAGCAATGATATCCCTCATTTCATGTCCTCTTCTGAATCTATCTTGAACTTCTGGAAGCTCTCTGTCAATATATGCTTGCAGCTGTTTTTATATTATCTTTAGCAAAATTTTACTTGCATGTGATATTAAAGATATTGGTCCATGATTTTTGCATTCCATTAGGTTACCTCTCTGTGGAATGGGCACAAATATGGATCTCTTTCAATCCATTGGCCAGTAGTTATCTTCCACATTTCTTGGCATAGATGAGTGAGTGTCTCCAGTGCTACATCAGTTTGTTGAAAGACTTCAGTTTGTATTCCATCTATACCTGATGCCTTGTTCTTTGCCTATGTTTTCAATGCACCTTGGACTTCTTCCTTTAGGATCATTGGTTCTTGATCACATGTTACCTCTTGAGATGGCTGAACAGCAACCATTTCTTTTTGGTACAGTGACTCTGTGTATGCCTTCCATATTCTTTTGACCTTTTCTGATTCATTCAATATTTTCCCCATAAGGATCCTTCAATATTTCAAGTCGAGGCTTGAATTTTCCTTTAATTCCCTCAGCTTAAGAAATGTTGGGCATGTTCTTTCCTTTTGGTTTTCTAACTCCAGCTCTTTGCACATTTTGTTATAATATTTGACTATGTATTCTTAAACTGACTTTTGAAATTTTCAGCAATTTTATCTCCTCATTTCTTCCATTTGCTTTAGCATCTTTATGATCAAGAGCAAGTTTCAGAGTCTCTTCTAACATCCAGTTTGGTCTTTTTTTCTTTCTTGTGTGGGTATTATCCTATCACAGACAGCGCTGTACTTTAAGACAGATCTTGATTTGCTCTTCCTGATGATGGATGCGACACCATTCATCTTTACTTTGTCATATGATTGTCAGATTCAAAATGGCCAATTCCAGTCCATTTCAGCTCACTAAAGCCTAGGATAGTGATGTTTGCATTCCATTTCATTTTTGAAAATTTCCAATTTTCCTAGATTCATACTACATACATTCCATGTTCTAATTATTTTTGGATGTTCACAGCTGCTTCTCTTTATTTTGAGTTGCGACCCATCAGCAAATGAAGGTCTCGAAGGCTCTGCTCCATTTGTGTCATCACAGTCAACTCTACTTTGAGGAAGCAGCTCTTCCCCAGTGTATTTTGATTACCTTCCAATCAGAGGGGCTCATCTTCCAGTACTACATCTGACAATGTTCTGGTGCATCATGTTTCAATATTCAATATTCTGGTGCTGACAGTGTTCCACTGCTATTCATAAAATTTTTAGTGACTATTCAGACTAATATTTATAAGGTCTTCAGTGACTAAAATCTCTCTATCTTCCTAGTCTGTCTTTGTCTGGAAGCTTAGCTGAAGCTTGCCCACTGTGGGTAACCCTACTGGTATTTAATATACCCATGGCATAGCTTTTAGAATCACAACATGCAAGCCACAGTATGACAAACTGACAGATGAATGTTGGATGCAACTATAGTTTGAGCAAAAATCTCATTTACTCTCCCTAAGTAGTCACCAAAGGTAATTATAGTAGTGAAAACTTTATCTCAAAAATTTTAAAACTCCTTCTTGTGCCTCAATTAACTATATTTATTGAGTGTGTGTTCTGGTGGCAGGTACTATGCTAAGCACTGGGAGAGGCTTTGATCCTGGTTGACCTAAAGTCTACACTCCAAAGGGGAATGCAGACAATAAATACTTACAAGGATGATGAGAGTTATAAAAAGCACAGAAGTTATGGAGAATGTCAACCAGGAGGACCCAATCAAATCTTGGGTGGTGAGGAAGGCCCCTGGAGGAAGTAGGGTACTGGGGAAAGGTTGAGGAGGAGTTAGCCAGACAGTGAGATTGGAAGACAGATGTTTTTATAAAGGGAGAACATGACAAAAGGCCCTGGGGCCTGTGGCTCTACCAAAATAATACAAAGGCTGGGAAATGATGTCTCTGGATGGGCTCGAAGGCCCTGGATTATGAAGAGTTTCTTTTAGTCATACTGAATGAATGTTTTGACTTCATTTGGAGGGCCACAGTAAGCCACTGAAGGGCTTTAAACAAAAGAATGTCACAATTCAATCTACTTTTCTAAAAGTCTGGTGTAGCTACCTATGAAAAATGGACTGGAGGGGCAAGCCTGGAAGCTGAAAGACTCAGATGGGGACTGCTATTGTCCAGGCAAGAAATAAAGTGAAGGTAGGAAAAAAAGATGAATCTAGAGTCACTTGGTCTTTTCTGAATGACACAATTATTTAGGACTCTTGGATTCACTCTTTCATTTGGGGATACCATGACTGCTAGGATGAGCAATATAAGACATAATTCCTTCTCTTCAGGGAACTTAGTTTGGAGAGGTTAACAAGCAAATAACTACACATTTAGTATACAGAACAGTCAATAGTGCAATAGAGGGCGAGCAAAGTACTATGGGGCCACATAGGAACAGCGCCCCCTAACCCACACTGAGGAACATCACGGAGAACTTTGCAGATGAGGTGTCTTCTGAAATGAATCTACAGGGTGAGGAAAAATTAGGCAAAAAGTAAATGGGAGGATAAAGTATAGGACAAAGTGACAACATGATAAGCAAAGTCTATAGGCAAAAATTCATCAGGAATTTGTAATACTTCCAGTGTAAAGAGAAAAGACCTCACAAGCAAATACTTTCCTTTTTTTAGAAGAGCAATGGGAAATGAGAGATGACAGACTTCTCTGACAGCATTGTGAGGAATGGACGGACTGGTTGCAGGCCAGACGGGATCCATATGCCTTTGTGCATGCTTTTCCTTTCTGCCTAAAATCTTTTTCTCAATGGCAAACAGTTCCATATTTCAAGGCTTAACTCTAGTATAAGGTAGAGTCTGAGTTAGTTAACACCCTTTCTTCTAAATATATGTAAACACACTGCCATAAAACTCAATATTGCATGCAATAATCTGTTGTTAGCTCCCCTCACTTGATGATAAGCTTCTTGCAGGAAAGGAAGAGTCTGTAATATCTTCAGGAGAACTGAGATTTTGTCTGTTTTTTCCTTGCTGTATCTCCAGTGCCTATAAGACCGCTTCATCAGGCCCTCAATCAAGAGAAGATGACAAGAATGTGATCTTTCAAGTCAGATCTCAAATTTCCCTCCTCTGAGAAAAGTAATTATCACTTGATCAGTAAAAATAGGTCCAAAGTAGTTGGCATTAATACCACAAGAGATCAGTAACTACGTTCACTAAAATGTCACATTTGAATGCTTCAACAGGGATCACAGAGATTTACACTGACAGCAGTGCCACCAGAGATGCTAACCTCCGATTTTTTCCACTATAGCTTTGTGCTTCCTTTCTAAATGTTGAAGATGCCTACAGCATTTCTCCAGTTTTCTTTTCACATCTTGGCATTCTTGCTTTGTCTTTTCAAGTTCTTGGAAGCAGTGTCCACAGCATGAATCTTTAGTTTCAAGGATCTTTTCCTTATCTGTGAAAATTAAATGACAGCAAACTTTTATATCAGTTTGACTAAGAACTACCAAAACAAAGAAAGACTGAAAAAGAAAGCCAGATGGCATGACTCAAGGCCACATTACAACTGAAGGACTACATGCACGATGTTGACGAGAAAGAGACCTGTGCTTAAATCCTGTTTCCACTATTTATTGGTTGTATCATTTAGAGTGTATTTACTTCATCTTTTTTAAGTCTAGTTTTTTAAATATGTAAAATTGGATTAATACCACCTATTTTAGAAATTGCTATGAAACCTTAGTATTGAATACCACTACCCACTTAAAGGAACAATGATCTTCAAGAAATGCTTGATCCAAGTACTGTGCAAAGATATATATGAGACTGAAACATGTTGTTATGTTAGATAAGGAAGTATAAAAAAAATGCAAGCATGTCAAAGGGATACAGGAGCCAGATTAAGGAGCTCCTACTGGCTGACCTTGGGCCAAGTAAAATAGTAATTAAGTTATAGTAGTGAATTATAAATTACTGAAAAATAGTAATTCATGAGTCCATATAATGCATACATGCATGAATGGACACACATATGGATGGGCAGATAGATGAAAACAAACAAGACGGGGTCGAGACTCTTGATTATAAACTAGTAAATGCACAGGGAGGGCTGGAGTTGGGGGTGGGGAATCATAATTTTGCAGCCATCACACTAAAAACTGGAGCAGGCAGGGTTATCAATGATAGCTAACCCTAAGGGAATGGTCTTAAAAGCATCTCCCTACAGTTTTCTTAGTCACAAAAGAAAAAGAAAAAAAACACCGTAATTATACAGTGAAGAAGTTGGCCAACATGCTAAGATGATCGAAATCAACCTTGCCGATGAGACAAAAGGACATCATGCAGCTCCCCACGGGAGAACACATCACCTACGTAAGATTCCAGTCAAGAAAGCAGAACGGGAATCTCACCATTTAGGAGACATCAGATAAACTCTAAATGAGGAAAACCAAAAAAACAGGAGTTGGCGGTGGGTGGAAAACGTGTCTCTCAAAGATGCCAATGTCATAAAAGATAAAGGCTAAGGAAACGTACTAGATCAAAGGAGCTTAAAGACATAACAACTAAATGCTGTACCTGAGCCTAGCTGGAATCTTGTTCCGCAGGAGAAACAAAGGCTCTAAAGACATTACTGAGTCAATTAAACAAATTAGAATACAAACAGTAGATTAACGCTTTTCTCTAACATTCAATTTACTGTACTAAATTCATGCAGAAAATATTCCTGTTCTTGGGAAATACAAACTGAACTATTTAGAGGTAAAAGACCATTTTGTATATAACTTAATACCCTCAAATGGTTTAGCAAAAACATTTACATACACACAGAAGATCACAAAATGGAGTCAAATTATCAATAGGTACATTTGAGAGTTCTCTGTTTAATTTTTATAACTTTTCTGTAAGCTTGAAATTGTTTCCAAACAAAAAAATTATTTTAAATTGTGGGAAAGCATAAAATGCAAAATATCGCCTGGCACCGTATCTGGCATAGAACAAGTACACAATAAATAATGCTTATTGTGATTAGTAATATAGAGAAATTATAAAATTAAAATGGAAGTGGTTGTGTGCTATTGAATTAGTCTGACTCACAGTGACCCCGTATAGGAGTTCCAAGGAGTGGCTGGTAAGTTTGAACTGCCAACCTTGTAATTCAAACTGACCTTGTGGTTGAGTGCTTATCCTACAGCACCACACCAGGACGCTGAAAATGAAAATGTTGTTGTTTGTTAAGTGGCGTTGAGTCGGTGCTGACCCGTAGCGATCCGGTATAGGGTTTTCTAGGAGTGGCTGGTAAGCTTGAACTGTTGACCTTGCGGTTCAAACCGACTTTGCAGTCCAGTGCATTAACCCACAGCGCCATACCAAGACTCCAAAAATTAAAATAGTATGCAAAAAAATTATGTAAAAGGTAAATTATTACTATTAACTGATCTATTAAGTAGGAATACAAACTGGCACAGGCTCAGAAGTCTATGTTTAAAATGCTTATGTAAAATCACTGTTCTAGTAAAATTATTATTTTTAGCTCTCTTCTGACCTTTTAGTTTCATTTAAATTGTGCTTATTCATGTTCATTAGCAAGATCAATGAAGCATCACATTGATACTATATACTTCATTTATAATTTTCATTGAAAACAGGAAGCTGCATACATCCATTGACAAGAGATCAGACAGATAAACTAAACACACAGCAGAATACTACACATCAGTGAAAATGAATGAACTAAAGCTATATGTATTAACACAGAACTCTCAGAAGTAAAGTAAGTGGAAAGAAGCAAATTACAGAAGAATACAATAAATATGGTATTTTTTTATTGTTAAAAGAAATTAAATAAAGTAATAGCCTTTGGGGATACCAGTATTTTTTTTCCATCTGATCAAACCATAAATAATAATAATAATAATAATAATAAAAAGCAAGGGAATTAAAAAAAAATAATTAGAATATTTGTTACCTCTAGTAGGGGACAAGTTACAAGGACAGAAGTAGAACACACAGGGTTTTTTAACAGTATTGAATAGTGGGTTGTTGGTTGTTAGGCTTTATAGCATATATATAAAGTATTTTCTTTGCTTACATCAAATACCTCAGAAGTTTCCAATAACTTTTTAAAAATCAGGTATTAGGAGACTATAATGAAACAATCCACAATATTGCTGTCTGTCTGGGCAATAGGACTCACAGAAAACTTTAACACATGCTTGTTTAACAAAAACTGCTTGTTCTGAAGTGAGGGAAACAAGGACTAAAGAAAGAAAAATGAATCCTCTTGTAGTCTGACTGGTCTTCGTCCAAACTGATTTCTTTCATGTGACAGGACATCCCAAAGCGGAATGATACCTAAAACGTGTTTCTATTCCTTTCAAAGATTAAAACATAATTTCCAGGCTATTCAGACTGTGACAGCAGATATAACATAATATTGAGACTAAGAAGCACAATACACGTTGAGGTGCAGTAGTACCATCATAACTGGCAATAAAATAGTCTCAACCATCTAGAATCTAGATGCAAGGGAAAAAGGTCTCTGAGAAACTGAGCTGCTAAATGACTTTTTGGGAAAGCTTCAGACTGTTGTTGAGCCTTCAAGTTAGGTTTCAACTCATAAAGACTCTATATAGGGTTTCCAAGGAGCAACTAATGGGTTTGAACCGCCGACCTTGAGGTAAGCAGTCCAGTGCTTATGCTACAGCATCACATCAGGACTTCCTAGGATTTTAGTCTACTGAATTAGACATGTGTAGAAGCTAATGTTGGCTTGGCACATACGATCTTCCCTGGCAAATTTTCATTCTTTTCTATGTTGCATAGGGGACGGCAGATAAGCAGCAGCATGATTGTGTTTCTGTGGCTGGAAGGAGCAGCCTCCAAAGGCCAAATCCTAAGAAGGATGGGAGTTCATAAAGGGTTTGCCAACTCCCAGCTCCAAAATCTCAGTGAAAAGGCAAGGCACGCCCTAAACTGGTCAGTAAGCTCTGAATGCATCAAGGGGCTGCAGTGACATCTATAAATCACTTAGGGACGGTGAAATTGGTAATTAAGTGTTCAAGGAGCACAAACTACGTGCCATTCATTGTGCCATGTGCTGGAGACTCAGGAAAAGCACTTCCCGTGAAGAAAATCACAGATAACTCAGAACACATCTTAGGCACTTTAGAAAGCGTTCCATTAAAAATGATTGAATTAAGCTATATTCATTTGAATTCAAGAGTCCTGGTTCTATGGGACTATTCACACGTGATACCTTACATTTCTCAATAAAATGAGGAAATAAACACTATTTCTCCACTAAAAATTTCCCATCTTCTACATGTGATGAGAATCACTTCTGAATGGAGGGAAGAACACACACAAAAAAAATAGAAATAAGAAGACCTGAAGCAACTCACTCCTCGAAATGCAAAGTAAAATCTCAGGAGATACACAGTAAGTAGAAGTAATATTATACGTTTGTTCACCCATAGAACTAGTCTCATCTTTGACCTCCTTTTATCCTCAAAGTAACTATCTGGAACTGTGATTATCAATGTTACAAAGACGGCAGAAATAAAATCCAATTACCAGCTTCTGCTTCTGTTTTTTGCAAGGCCAAGCGCTGAGCATCGTGTCCAGAAGTGGGTGGAGGAAGGGCTTCTGAGACTGCAAGGGCTCTTATGCCGGTGTACTCGCTAGCTGGATCCTTAGAGATCTTAGTCAGATTTTTCTGAAATAAATTATCTTCATAGTTAATGCCTAGTAATAATCCTTATAAAATTCTGTCTTAAAAATGCTATTAAAAAAACACAAAAAGAAACACCAAGACGAGATTGTCTAAAGTATCACTAAAATTTTTCTTAGGTGGTTATGTGACTACTGTACCTAGGAAATAGTCTCCTAGGATCATACTTTCCAAATCAGAACATCGTCTGACCAAGGATTGGTAGGTCCTGAGACAGACAGGAGATGTAGTTTGCATACTTAAATACTTTCAGTGGTTTACAGAATCAAATCATACGACAGACTATGTAAACTAAAACTGGTCTTGAAAATCCAGAATGTTTCCACTCCAGCAGGGTTAAATTTATTATTAACTATAATGCCAAGATTTTGTCTTCTACAAGTTAAAAATAACAACAGTAAAAATAAATTTATACTGTGTTGAATATGTTCCTAAATTGTTGTTGTTGTTAAGTGCTGTCGAGTCGGTTCCAACCCATAGTGTCCCTGTATAGGATTTCCAAGCAGCAGCTGGTGAGCTTGAACTGCTGACCTTGCAGTTCAAACAACTTTGCAGTCTGGCACATTAACCCACAGAGCCACACTAGGACTTCATGTTTGTAAATACTTTAACATAAATCTTCATTTTGTATAAAAGGTCAGTTGAAAGCTATTTCCAATGTAAAAGTGGGAAGTTCAGCTACGTTAAAACTGTACACTAGCGTTTATGAAACAATTTCTGTATTCCGATCTCTCTTACAGTCAATTGTTGTTGTTAAATGCCCTCTGAGTTGGCCCTGGACTCATGACAACAATGAAAAGAAGCACTGTTCAGTCATGGACACCCCATGACCAGTTGCAGATTGGGCCATTGAGATTGCTAAGGTTTTCATTGGTTGATTTTCAAAAATAGCTCACTAGGCCTTTTTTTCTTTGTCTTAATCTGAAAAATCCACTAATACCTATTTAGCATCACAGCGACAGGCAAGCCTCCACCGATGGAGCATGAAGCACATTGGCTGGAAGTTGAACCCACGTCTCCAGCCTGGAAAGGCAACAATTCTACCACTGGACTACCACTGCTCCACATTCTAGGCAATACATCTAACTGAGTTTTTAGACCCTACTAAATCCCAAAGGAACTGAATAGGTGATCTTCAGAAAACTGTCCTGTTAATTACTTAATGCATTATGCATGCTTGATTCTATAAGCCTTGATTTTGATTATGAGAAATCCATTTAACGGCTAGTAAACCTACCTGTGATGTCCAACAGAAGTTGGGGTTAGAAATGACAGAGAAAAGGCAAATGAGATAACCAAGAGGAAATAAAGTAAAAGCAAAAAGGAGTAATGAAAGATGAAGCAAAAGCAGTTAAAATTTCTGGTTTCTATTCAAAACTGGAGAAAGACATCCTGAAGGCAGGTAAACAGCAACATTTTTGTCTTGTTTTTAATTTATTGGGTAGTAAGAAGAGATGGAACACCATCTATAGTCTATTTAAAAACTTTGTTCTAATTGGTAATATATTAATGTATTTTATAAGGCATTCATTTTCATGGAAACTGGTTTGTTTGTTTTTTAATTTATTGTATATCCCCTATTTTAAAAAACTTTTAAATCAATTGAGTTATGAAAAAAGCTCAGGGAAAATGGGATTGAAAGATACTTTTCCACAAATTTTTTTGAAGTCCCCTCCTAGATTTAAATGACTAGTCTTATATATACCGAAAAAATCCTTTTTAATATTTTAATTTCAATGACCAATTCTAAAACTCAGAGATTCAATAACTTACATGCACATTTGACATTCACATTTATGCCACCTCTATTTCAAACTTATAATCATTTCTCTATAATTACTGCTTCACCTCAAGGTACTGAGTTTCGTTAGCTCTAAAGTGGCTTCAGAAGGTCAGGTATTACAACTCTGACAAATGCCAAATGGGATATTTCAAAGCCAGCCACACTTTCCTCAGGAATGGAATTTGATTCCACCCAATAAGTGACAAAAATCTAAGTTCTTAGTCAAATTATGTGGTTGTCTCATTAGACTTGTGAGCCACATTAGTGCACACGGATGATTTTATACTGCTTGTGCAAGTATAAGCCCAGGAAAAAAGATCCCAGGGTTGATCATATATTAATGGTAGGAGGTGGTTGTTGTTAAGTACTGTAGAGTAAGTTCCAACTCATAGTGACCCCGTATAGGGTTCCAAAGAGCGGCTGGTGGCTTTGAACCACCAACCTTGTGGTTAGCAGCACAGTGCTTATCCTCCATGATAAGATAATCGAGTTGTATTTCCTTGATTTTTTTTTTTAAACAGAGATTACCTTTTCAGGAAGGCAAACTTGAAAGCATATACCATGATTTTCCCATCAAGACTCATTCTTAAACCCTGTTAAAGATATTTTTTATATTTTAATGAAAAAAAAAAGCAATAAATTATTACATGTTAAAATTCCTAGGAAAGGAGGTTATTTTAACCTTGAATGTAAAACTGTCCATTACATTTTTGTCAATCAAGGATTTGAAAAATAACAATCAGGAGAAAACAAACAAGATGGTGGATTGGGTGGACGTATAGCAGAGAGCTCTGCCAACAACAACACAAAATACCTGAACAAGCAGGCTCAGGGGATGGTCCCAGAACTCTGAACCACATATAAAAGAATACTTAGAAGGTTGGAAGGCTCACAGCTGGGGGAATTTGTGGCAGAAGCAAGAAATCTATTGCTTTCTAGTCCGGGACGCTCAGCTGCTCCAGGAGCCGCCATCTTGGGTGACACCATGTGGGAGAAAGATCAGAGCGGCCACAGATGCCTGGCAGAACTGCTGAGATAAAGGTGTGGACATTCTTCTCTTTTGGTAGCTGTTCAGTGGTCCCTTGCTGTCTGCG